AGCATCGTGATTATTTGGCTGCAAAGAAATTGAACGGAGGCATGTTTTTGGTGAGCAGATGTGAAGTGGACATTTGTTTAAAATTTACCTCCAGAAACACTATTTGATATACTACAATATATGAAGGTGACAACATGAAAAACTGGTGTCTTTCTCCTATTTATTTTTTTCCCAAATAGATGATTGACATTTGTTGTTAAATTGCAAATAACGTATATTGAAGTTGTGCTACCTACCTAAAATTTATCGACTAGTCAACTTCAAAACATTGTGTTTCAGATCCTGTTGCCATGGAAACTGGAATAGATTTAGACATTTAGACTTATAGACCAGTGCCTGTAATGTCACAAGTGTCTGAATCTAGCTGTTTATACTCTCACTGTTTTTCTCACTAAAAGAGTGACTCATAATTTTTACATTTTCACAAGGAGTAAAAATAGTTTGTGTTTTCCTGTTTACTTCTATGAGCAATTAAATCAGTTCTCTGGTTTACAGCTCCCAACAATGATTTAGGAGTATATCTTCCTATTTCAGCAAACGAAAGAAAGCATAGATATGAGTGTCTGTTCCACAGCACAGTCTTCCACATTGAATCCGCAATCTACATTTTCATCAAAATTAGCGAACAGAGGAAAATGCATCCTCTAGTAAGTTATTATGGAATATTGATTAAATTGAGCAAGCATGTGCTCAAATTCTGAAGGTGCAGTGCCAGTGGGAATGGCTTTTTAAACAGAATGCCATTTTGTAAATTGAATCCTTCAGCATTTGTACACCAGCAGCTCATGAGCTCATGCTTCATATTTAATATAACTATTACAATGTTATGTATATATTGGTATTAATGGTTCAATACTTATAATTAAACTACTCAGATAGATAAGATATTTTTGTTTACATCAATTGTAGCTGAATATTTTTCACTGTGGCTTGCATTTATGAATACTATTAACTTAGACTGGAAATTATTGATGTTTCATGCAGCGATTTCTTAAGAAAATCAGTTTTAATGTTAACTAAATCTTAATGGCCACAATAGCAATGTTAACTCCATAAAAAAGGATTTTATATAACCATCAGTGCAACACAGTTTTATGGGGATAAAGGCATAAAAACTGCAGCAAGACGATGTGTGCTAATCTTATCTAAAGCAAATAACTACTATAATCTTATCACATGATTAGGCTAATTGAGATTTTATTTTTGATTTAATTACGTGCTTGAAAATGCCAAGTGGATGTTTTTAACATCAGATATTCAAGATGTTAATTCAACCTTTGAGTGAGCAATTCTTCTAAGTTAAGTTTCTATTTATCATCGAAGAACATAGGAGCATAGAAACATAGGAAGAGGAATAGGCCATTTAGGCAATCGAGTCTGCCCCACCATTCAAAGCAATTGTGGTTGATTGAGCATTTCAATGCCTTTTGTTCACTCATGCCACCCCCCTGTGCACTGCAGGTAATCAGACATCTATCAAACTCTTCTTAAGCATACATAAAGAGCTTCCACAGTCCTCTCCAATACAGAATTCCAAAGATTCCTAACTCTCTGAGTTAAGAAAAATCACTTCGCCTCATCTCAAAGCTCGGTGACATTTCCCATATTTTTACATTATACCCTAGTTCTTGACTCTCCAATATGGAAAAAACATTCTACCTGCATTAATCTTGTCTATCCATTTACATATTTTGTTAGTTTAAATTACATCTTGTACAATCCTGAACTTCCTTTGTTAGCCATGGCAAAGTGGCATTTTTTGAGTTTTGGTACCTTGAGGGAGTGTCTCGTTTCTCTTAGTAATGTTCTTTGAAGACTAACTATTGCCTATGTTCAGCCATGCCTTTTAAAGTAAACGCTCTCTAAACCTTCTACACTTCACCTTAAAATGTGGTGCCTTGTTAATGACTCTTCAACTAAGTGGAATAGCTGCTCCTTATGCATTCTGTATATGGCCCTCATTGCTTTATATACTTAAATAAGGTACCCCCTCATACTTCTCTGTTTCAAAAAAAACCCAAGCTATCCAGCTTCTTTACATAGCTAAAATCCTTCATCCCAAGTAATATCCTGGTGAATCGATTCTGGTGCATTCACATCATTCCTAGAATACGGTAACCAGAATACTGGCATCACACTAAGGCCAGGCAATGACCATCTCTAATGAGAGGCAATCTAATCAATGCCCCTTGACATTCAATGCATTACCATTACTGAGGGCCCATTATCAGCATTCCGCAGACTTACTATTAAGCAGAAACTAATTGATAAAGGCAATTGTCCAGTATGCCTTCTTAACTATTATTAAGTGGTCCTGCTGCCTTCAAGAATCTGTGGACAAGCACCCCAAATCCTAGTGTCCTGCCATTCTTTGAGTACTCTCTTGTCTTGTTATTTCTTCCAAAGTGCACCACCTCACCCCCTTCTGGGTTAAATTTTATCTGTCACAGATATGCCCATCTGACCATCTGTCTGCATTATCGTGTGACCAAAGACTTCACTGTTAACCAGCTGGCTAATCTTCATGTTATCCACAAACTTACTTATCCATTCCCTGTCCCCAGTGTTCTTATCTACATTGTTTATACATATCATGAATAATAAGGGATCCAGCATTGATCTACTGCACACTGGACTCCAGTACAGAGTCAGCCTTCTACCATCAGCCTCTGTCTCCTACCAACAACTAATTTTGGATAAATCCTTGCCAAGTTACTTTGGATCCCATGTACTTGTACCTTATCTATCAGTCTCCTATGTAGGACCTTGACAAAGATTTTGCTAAAATCCATTAAAAAATGACATCAATTGGCATACCTTCATCTGTGTGCCTAATCACCTCCCTGAAAAGTTCAATCAAATTTGTTAGACATGACCTCCCTCTGAAAAAGCCATGCTGACTATCCCTGATCAAACCTTGCCTCTCCAAGCACTTCAGAATTCTCTCCAATAGTTTCCCTACCAGTGATATGTGAAATGCATTCATCTGTAATTCCATGACTTATTCCTACCGCTGTTTTTGACAAGTGGAACATATTAGCTGTCCTCCAGTCTTCTGGCAACTCTCCTGTGGCCAGATAGGAATTTTTGCCTTTGCCTCCCACAGCAGCCTGGGATACGACACATCCTGACCTTGGAATTTGTTCAATTTTAAACCTGCCAAATCATCCAATTCCTCACTTCCTATGTCTCGCTACTCAATAACCTCATTGACCCTCTTACCGAACTCTGTACTACTCTTCTTGCTAACCTCCTCCTTTTCTCAGTGAAGACAGAAGTGAAGTTCAATACCCTACTAAGATCTCCAGCTCCATGCACAGATTGCTCCCTTGGTCTCTACGGGCCTTACTCTTTCCCTGGTTATCCTCTTCCTCTACATTTCCTTTTGGAGTTTCTTGGGATTCTTGCTAAATCTGCCTGCCAGTGTTTTTTCTTGCCCCTTGCAACTGTCCAAGTTGTTTCCTTACGTTTCCACCTGCACCTTCTATACTCCACCAGGGCCTCCATTAATTTGCTCCCTTTGCTAAACACCTCTCTTCCTTCTTATACATCCCAAATATTCCCAGTCATCCAGGGTTCTATGGAATTTTGCTACTACATTTCACTCGAAAGGTAACATGTTGGGCCCTGTACTCTGCCCATTTTCTCTTTGAATGTCCCACGCCCGCCCCCCACATCAGCACCAAACTTCCCTGCACCCAACCATTCTGCTGTAGATTTTTCCACTGGTGGCTGTTCCCAGTCTACTTTGGCTAGATTCTGCCTTATTTTAATAAAATCTGCCTTCCCTTAACCTAAAACCCTTTTCTCAGCCCATCTTTTTCCTTCACTGGAATAAACTTAAATTGTGCTATCATTGAAATGCTACCCCAGTGTTATCTTGATCACCTGTGTGTGGCAACATGAGGATAACTTTCTTTTACGCAAAACTTTGCTGTGATCTAGAACGCATTGCTTACAAAGGTGGTGAATGTAATTAATAAAAGCTCAAATTGAAAGATAGCTCATGGTCATCGTTACTGAGACTATCATCCATTGATGCAAAACAGACATCTAGTTCACAAAAATCAGACTTTACTAAAACTTTCAACTACTAATATCCTTTAGGGGAGGAAATCTTGCTTCAATACCTGGTCTAGCCTACATGTGACTCCAGACACTTAGTAACACGATTAACTGCCCTCTGAAACGATCCTGGTCATGCACTGAGTTCAAAAACACTTAGAGGTGGGCAAGAAATGCCGGAAGTGTTGCCAGAAATTCTCACATCTTATGAAAAAATAAAAGAAATAGTAATTTTCAGGGCTCAGGAGAAACAAAAAGTGGAGTGGAATTAATTGAATAACTTTACCACTACATAATACAGGCCTCCGTCAGTTCTCTACAATTTTATGATTATATGAATTCTCAGTTTTTTGAATTCTAACTTCTTGTGAAAATCCATTTTAATTACTCCACCATTGGAGCACTAACGTCAGCTTTCTAAGCTCTAAGTTCTCAACTTTCCTCAATAAATATTTCCATATTTCTACTCATTTTTCCTATTTTATAAGGCCTGCTTGACATTCACCTCTTTAAAAAAGTTTTTGGCTATTCACAATGAAGTACTTTGTGATGGTTCAAGACCTTAAAGTTCGTATATTAATGCTGTTGTTAAGTTTTACATAATATATGATTAACATTTAGAAAACCAGTTGCTTGATAAGTTCAAACATAATCTGCTCCGAAAGGCACAGTTACATGGAAACATTTTAAATTTCTCAAATGCTTTTCTTATATTAGACACCATCCAGGTTACTTCATCACTTATAATTTACTCTTAAAAACATTTTTTGCTTATTCAATAAATGTTTCCACTTCTTTAAAATGTAGGAAAAAAAAATTTAACGAAATTTAGCAAAAAATTTAACATAAAAATTAAATACTTTTGAGCAAAAATCAGACTTTACTAATATTTCCTAACTGAATTAAAATGATTTTGAAGCAGTTTCAATACTCACCATTCCTTGTCCCAGTGCCCCCCAGCACTGTAACAGGTATGCCAATAACTGAGGCGAGGATCCAGATGCAAACGTTTATCACTTTTGCCTTCAAAGGGGTACGGAAATCCAATGCCTTCACTGGATGGCACACAGCAATATATCGGTCAACACTCATCATTGTCAATGTGAAAATACTCGTAAACATATTGTAATAATCAATGGAGACAACTATTTTACACAATGTATCTCCAAATGGCCAAGATCCCAACAAATAATCAGCACTCTGGAAAGGCATTGTGCTTGTCGCTAGAGCATCTGCTGCGGCAAGATTAAAAATATAAATATTGGTAGCTGTCTTCATCTTGGTGTGTCTAAAAAAGAAACACAGAAGCCTGTCTCAGTTATCATCACCATCTGCTGCCATACAAAATCACAAATGCAATCAAAACTAATTCTGTTATTTATATACTTATCATTCAGAAGTTAGATCCATTTGTTTGTTTGATATATTCACATATAGAGTTACTGTGCCTTATCGTAGAATCTGTATAGTGCAGATAGATGCCATTTGGCCCGTCATGTCTGCACTGAACCTCCAAAGAGTATTCCACCTCCCTATCCCCATAACCCTGCATTTATCATGGCAAATCCACCTAGAATCCACATCCTTGGACACTACAAGGCAGTTTAGCATACCCAATCCACCTAAATTGAACATCTTTGGATTCTGGAGACCAGAGGTCCCAGCGGAAACCCAGCAGATACGGGGAGAATGTACAAATTCTACACAGACAATTGCCCAAGGCTAGAATTGAACCCAAGCCTCTGATACTGTGAGGCAGTAGTACTAACCACTGTGTCATCCTGCTGCCCAATTTTATCAGAGATGCAAATATCTAACGCCAAAAGATTGGCTTGAATATTCCTGAAGGTGTCAGGAAACTTATGAAGCCATATGTTGGGCAGCATGGTGGTTCAGTGGTTAGCACTGCTGCCTCACAGCGCCAAGGACCCAGGTTTGATTCTAGCCTTGGGTGACTGTGTGGAGTTTGCACATTCTCCCCTTGTCTGCATGGGTTTCCTCCGAATGCTCCGGTTTCCTCCCATTGTCCAAAGATGTGCAGGGTAGGTGGATTGGCCATGCTAAATTGCCCATACTGCCCAGGGATGTTTAGGTTAGGTGGGTTAAACATGGGAAATTAGGGGAATGAGTCTGGGTAGGATCCTCTTCAGAGGGGCAGTGTGGACTTGTTGGGCCGAACAGCCTGTTTTCACATTGTAGGGGTTCTATGAATAACTATTTCTGGGCGTTGATCACATTAGCAATTTTATGGGAGATGATTAATTAACAGACTGTCTCCCTGTTTGCTATCCAGTCAAGGTCCAAAAATTTCCAAAGCTCAGGCTAGTATAGCCCTGAGCGAGGAAAGTTGTTAGCCCAAGCATGGAACCCTGCTGAGGCTCAAGTATCTAGAGCAGCAGGGAAGCAGTACAGCCACCATCAATATGATAGGAGGCACTGAGACATCACGAACCTTCACAAGGATCTGCCTGCAGGATTTCTGCACTCAATGATAAGTCTATGAGATGGAAAGAGAGCAGTCTTGCAATTTTCTAGTAGGACGATTTAAACCTCTAAAGTCTATAATACAGCGTCTATCTCCCATTATTCATCTACCTCATCTTATTTGATAGGTTGTGGGTGGGAAAGATGGTGGTGGCTCTTGTGATGCTAGCAAGATTGCAGTCTGCTTATGAAATGCCCACCAATTAGTTTACCATTTGTCCACCACCAACTGCATTTCATTTGCCAGTGTGCTTCTCCCTCTGGGAAAAGTGAGAGGCAATGGGAATACCTCATGGAGTGAGCTCAATGCTGTCTTTTGTAAAATTTCACTGTTCCAATTCCAATGGGCCTAGGAAAGTTCTGGTCACTGGGCCATACTGTCACATATAAATTTACTTCCTATGGTGGAAATATAATGTCCAATTCAGAGATTATAAGAAAAACTTTTGACATTGGGAAATTGATGCCATATCAAACAAAATTATAAGGAATGTCAGTTATAAATCTAATGAGTTTAGTCAGATGCGGACAATGTGCTGATAGGCTCCATTGGTTAACTAATATTTTCTGACAGTAATAAAATAAAATCATGATTCACAAAGTTCTTCTGAACAGTCATTTTGTTAAATTAATTTAGCCTTTTCCTCAGATTGGCACAACTTACATTAAAAGTAATGACTGCTTCTAAAATTATGATAAAACACCAAATACTAAATGTGACTAATTGATTACAAGGTGCATTAGACTTCTGCATAAAAATCATGCAATTGAGAATCCATTGACTTTCCAAATGAACAGTGTAATTGTTCACAATTTACATCAACCAGGAAGAGAAATACCCTTAATATAAATAAATAAAATGGAATACTGAGAACCAAGAAGCTTTGTATAGAAGTCCTACATCTGTTTACCATAATACCTCTTTAGAGCTTGAAACATAAATGGAAAAAAAAAAAGTCACTGAGTGAAAAGAACAAAGGTGAGACAATGGCATATATGCAGTGAGGTTGCAAAAGCCTCCTTAGGGCTGAACTAAATGTATTGACCAGACTAAAACTCCAGAAATCAGCAGACTCTACATATAACAGAAAAATCTTTAACTGAGAATAGCAGACTCTGTGTGCCATCTTCTTAATTGCATAGATAGAATTTGTTCACCAATGAATAATGTTAAAGATGGAATCAGTCACTTCTAGTATTGCGCAAAAGTAATGGAACCAATGTTTCTTTTCCCTTTTAAACAATATTTCGAACTGCCATACTTCCTTGCCCTGCTAAACACAATCTCACCTTTTTTCCTAATCTAGATGCAATCTCTTCCCCTACGCACCTTCTTAATGTTTCACTTTGAGCCTGTTTGTGATGCATTGTCTCAAGCCCTAAGCTGTCGTGCATGTATTAAAGAAAGACTTGTGTAAAGACTGTTTAATGTTCCAGGGACAAAACAGATGTTGCTGAAAAGCTTAGCAGGTCTGGCAACACCTGTGAAGAGAAATCAGCGTTAATATTCAGGTCCAATGACCCTTCCTCAGAACTGGAGAACTAATGTCCTGGGGACATGTGTTTGAATCCTGTTATGTCATTTGGTGAAATTTGAATTCAATAAAAATCTGGAATAAAAGCTAGCCAAATAGTGACCATGTAACCATTATTGATTGTCACAGAAACACATCTGTTTCACATCTTGTCCCTTAGGGCAGGAAATACACCATCATTGCCTGGTCTGGCCTACACATGACTCCAGGCCCACAGAAATGTGGTTGACTCTTAATTATCCTCAGGGCAATTAGGGATTGGCAATAAATAATGGCATCAGAAGCAATGCCAACATCTGAAGAAAGCCAGTTTAGTTCTCCTTATCAGTTGTTGTAAGGTGTAGCTTTTTACCAACCAATCATAGACTTTATAAGTTGTGAAACAGTTACCCAGTGCCAACTGCAAGCAAGTGAATGTATCTCAAGAAGGAAGATCAAAGAGCAGCAGGTCCTGACAAGCAAAAGTATCACCTCAGAGAACTTTGCAGGCAGGAATCAATGCTTTCCCAGGCCTTGCTTTCAGCCATGGTTTATTGTGTCTATCTGTATATGTGTATAAGAACAGTGTTGTAAAGGGGTTAGAGTTTTAACTGGTAGAGTTATTTGTTGATAGTTCATAATTGTTCATCTTTAGCCGGAATCTATTTATTTGTAATGCATAGTATCCTTATTCAGTGCAGAAACATAGTCTGTGCTTTCTGTCAACATGAGTGTAAAAGACAGGTAACTTGGAGAATTTTGCATACTTTTATAAAATCTTTAACTTTTGTGATGACGCTGGGAATAGCAGAGCTTGATTCCAGTACACTCCCCCAGTGAGGCATAACACGTGCATCCCAAAAAAATGAAGAAGAAAGATAACTGAGGATCTTCATAAAATGTTTTGGAATAATAACTGGAAGAGGGCAGCATGGTGGCTCAGTTGTTAGCACTGCTGCCTCACTGCACCGGGGACCCAGACTTGATTCTAGCCTTAGGTGACTGCCTGTGTTGAGTTTGCATTTTCTCCCCGTGTCTGCATGGGTTTCCTTCAGCTATTCTGGTTTCCTCCCACTGTTCAAAGATTTGCAGTTTAGGTGGTTTGCTATACTAAATTGTCCAGACTATCCAGGGATGTGAAGGCTAGATGAATTGGCCATGGGAAATGCAGGGTTACAGGGATAGGGTAGGGGTTTGGGTCTGGGTCGGATGCACTTTGGAGGGTTGCTGCGGTCTTGATGACTCAAATGGCTTGTTTCCATACTGTAGGGATTCTATAATTCTATGACAGTGAGTCTGAATAGCCAGCAAATATCAAAAGTCTCAAGTGCCAATGCAAATTTCAGCACCTAAGTGAAGTCAAAAAGGATTCACAGATCTGCATTGCCCTCCTCTCTGCCTCCCATTGGACTTGGTCCATCCTCACATCTCCTACCAACTGCACAGTAAGCCATAGGTTGCATTTCTTTCCCTAAGTATCTAGTTTTGTTCACTGTTGGCTGCAGCTCCCAACTCGTCCCACCTTTCAAGCTATATTTCATGTTCTGACACAAATCATTGGTTTCCAAGCCCTTTCAATCTAGGTTCTGGATTTTGTGTTCTCCTTTACACACTAGTTGTACTCTTGCTTCATGTTGATTTTTGCAGTAATTCTCCTTAATGACTTCTTTATTCATGGTAACCTCCCCAGTTGACTTCTTATCCCAATTTCTCATCGTCCAATGCTTAAGTTCTACTATCCATTTTGATCTAATTTTTCACCCTCCTCATGCTCCCTTTTCTTCTTGATTTTAATAGCTTTCTTCCTCATCTTCATTCGCCCTTTTCTCTTGTTCATTTCTGTTTACCCACTCATCTTCTCCTCTTTCTCTGCCTGCACCACATCTATGCTCTCCTATTACCTTCATTATTTTTCTCACAATCCCCATCTTAGTTCTATTAACCCAGTTTTGCTATTCTACTTGACTAAGAAAAACTTGAAATTAATTAGCATGCAGTGCTGAAGGAAGTTGGCCAGTTCTATTCAATAAAATACTGTTTTTGATGGACTTTTCTCTTGTTTGTTCATTTAATTCTTCCCTAAGGGTTGGTTACTTTGGATGACATCTTTAACGTATCATTAGGAAATTAAAATACATTCCCACAATATCATTTACATCAATCTGCCTGCAAATTGGCATGGTTTTCCAAAACAGGTTTCTGTTTTGGTTAACATTCATTCCCCTTACTAATTTAAATGCACAAAAGACAATGTTCAAATAATTACCTTATCAATAGTTACATGGACAAT